ACTAAAGATGACATGAAGAAGTATTACGAAAGCATGCCCAAAAGAATCGAAGAAGTCATCAAGGCTAAAGGTGGATATACTAAGCGCTAATGTTTTGTAGCCTGATTGATTTTACAGTGATTTTTACATTTTTTCATATTCCGCCCAAATTCCTAAATAGTATTTTATAAAATTTTGTTCAATAAAACTATGTTACTTAAGCAATATTCACTCAAAATTTGAAGAGTCTAGCTTCATTTCTGCAGAAGTTATCTTAAATTATATTTTTGTGAGCCGGTTAATAGCAGCACTGTATCTCCGCATATCAGAAGTGTTATGTATATAACTTAAAAAGGAACTCAAGAGTCCAGGTTCAACTTAATAGTAAGTATTGTAAATGTGGAGAAGGGCCTTGTTTATTCTTTCGATCAATATGACATTTAAATACAGTTCACTATTCTACATTTAATTCCCGCTTCACAACCTGATCTCTCCACTGAGCAATTATGAGTTCCAACCCTCTAACCTATCATATTCTTTTCTGAGTTCGAATTTCATCTTCCGAACCATCTTTTAGCTAAACCATATCAAATCCCACCCTCTTAGAGATGAAATTACTAACGAAGAGACTACGTTCGACTTGTCCATGTTTGCGTGCCGAAAGTTTTAGAATTCTCTCCTACCAAAGGTATCAACCTTCTTCTTTTATGGTACGTGACTAAATGTTTTCCGTTCACGGCTCCATCCAATTTCCTGGAATTTGCCCCGATTAAGTGGTATGTGGAATTTGCGTTAACTTTTACTACTTCAAAAGGGCCAACGAATCGATGATCAAATTTATCTTCCTTAATATGTTTCTTCATTAACACCTTATCCCCAATTCTGAACCTCTTTTCAACAACCACTTGTGCATCGTATCTTGCCTTCATCTTCTGCTTTCTTTCCATGGAATGTTTCACCGCCTCATCTCGTAAGTTCCTAATGTAGTCTTCTATCACTGCTGTTCTTCGTTTGACTTCCTCTTCTACCTCTCCTACCACATAATCGTATCGGGGGCCTGGCCAAGTAGCGGGCGTTCGTAAATCATAACCATATAAAAGCATCGCGGGAGTAAATTGGGTTGCTTCATTAACCATCGTTCTGATACATAGCAACGCACTCGTTATGTATTCGTTCCATTCATATTTGCTATTATCATCCTGCTTTAATTTCGCGATCGTGTCTACTAATGTGCCATTCAGTCTTTCTACCATTCCGTTACTATTCGGCATATATGCGCAAGTCAACAGATGCCTACACTCTAATTTCTTCAATATATAATCCAGGTACTCCGCCTTGAATGAACTACCGCGATCCGTAAGCAAATATGTAGGGATACCATGAAATTGAAAGACGTGATCGAATAGAAATCTTTCAGCCGTCTTTGCTGTAATATCCGGATAACTGGCTGCGATTGGCCAACGTGTCAGATAATCGATAGCTACCATCATATATTTATCACCGTTCTTTGTTTCCTCCATTGGTCCAACTGCGTCTAAACCCACCATATAGAAAGGTCGATAAGGAGTAGGGATTGGCTTCATCATACTTGTCTTATTGTGTTGTACTCTTTGGCGTTTCTGACACACTTCACAAGACTTCACCAGTTCCACAGTCCTTTTATACAAATCTTTCACTTCATATTGTAGTCTGACCTTATTTAAGGTGTTCTTTACCCCGAAGTGACCTTCTTTATGAACCTTCTCGATGATCTCATCGGCGTTTCCTTCATGAAGTAGTTCTTTACCAAGTATATTACCGTTTTCTTCGTCAACTTTTCTAAATAATCTACCCTTGTAAGCTACATAACGGTTGCCTCGCCTTTGAAGTCTTCGCTTCCATGTTTCATCACAGTCAATCGGATAGGTCTGCCTTGTCAAATAATAATAGATAGCTACATACTCAGGATAGTCCATTCTCCTTGTTTATAATCCAATAATAATATATATTTGTGTGTATAAAAGATAAGATATAGAATATAAAATAAAAATAAAAATATAAGACGTAATTTGCAATGATAAAAGATAATATTAATAAGTGTGGAAGGTCTATAAAATAATTCTTTTTTTTTTTATTTTTTTGTTTTTTTTTTTTTTTTTTTTTTTTTTTTTTTTTTTTTTATTCGAAGAGTCGGGACAACGCATCCGCCGGGTTATCCCTGCCCTTTCTATATCGTACCTCAAAATTGTACTCCATTAAGGCTGCTGCCCACCTTAAGATCTTACTGGTCGGTTTATCATTGTTAAATATAAAGCGTAAAGCAGTGTGATCTGTGTATAATATAAAACGTCGGTTGGATCCCAGATATTGTCGAAAGTATCTTACAGCCCATACCACTGCATAAGCTTCAATATGACTGGTTCCGTATTTGTCTCTTTCTTCCTTCTTTAGTGCCTTCGACGCATATGCGATAACCTTTTCACCATTTTGAGAACCATCTTTAGACTGTGAGAGTATTGCTCCAAGACCATTCCGAGATGCGTCTGTTGTCAGTATCTGCACCATTTCTCTGTCGGGATATGCTAAAATAGGAGGGTTCATCAATCGATCCTTTATTCTTTTCAACGCTATTTCTTGTGATTCTCCCCAAGTGAATTCTGCATTCCTCTTTAATAACATTGTGATTGGATACATTAAGTCTGCATAGCTATCGACATATCGCCTGTAATAGTTGGTTAGTCCACATAACGCTCGAACCTCCGCTGTATTGCTTGGCGATTTTAAATTTAGTATCTTGTCAACATTTCGTTTAGTAGGAGTTACACCACTTGCCGATACTTCGTGCCCGAGATATTCTACTTGTAATTTACAGAAATGACATTTGCTAAGCTTTAGACGTAGATTAGCTACTCTGCATATTTCGAACACTGCCTTCAGATGTTTCATATGTTCATCCAGAGTCTTGCTGTAGATGATGATATCATCTATGAACACGTACACAAATTTCCCTATATATGGCCCCATCAAATCATTCATCATTGACTGGTAACTATTGCTAGCCGTACAAAGTCCGAATGGCATAACTAGAAATTCGTAGACTCCATATTTTGTGATGAATCCAGTTTTCTCAACACTATCTTCGTTCATTCTTAATTGCCAGTAACCCGAGGCGGCGTCGCACGTAGAGAACCATTTCGCACCTCCAAAAGAATCTAGTAGTTCACCTATATGTGGCAGAGGATAAGCAGTTTTCACCGTATTTGCGTTCACCTTCTTATAGTTAATCACCAATCGTAATCCATTCGGTCTCTTAGGTACAAAGAAAACTGGACTTGACCACCTGCCCTTAGAAGGACGTATAAGACCTTTATCGAGTAAACTTTTCAATTCTTCTTTCAAATAGTCATCCTCCTCCCAAGTTAATCTACAGTGACTCACAAAAGTGTTACAATGTTTTTAAAAATTTTAATTTTTCGACTTTTTCATGCATTCTTCCCCTTGAGCACATACTTAAGCACTGATTTTTTTTTGCGATATGGAAAGTAGTAGTTCTAAGCTATTCAGTGATATAGCTTGTGTTAGGATTCATATACATTTGCTTGAGCACATTCGACATTCTAATCGCTCATCTCGACATTCGCAATCTGTAGAAATTCAGATGGTTGAAATGATGAATGTTTACAGAGCCTTCTTTCCCCAGGATTTTTCGAATTTATTGAGTTTCAGCAATCTATCAGGGGTCAATTTAATGTTGAGTATCATGTTTTGTCAAACTTGTACCTTTTTGCTTTTCGATTAGCTACATTACTTTACCCATTCACAAAAACCGCAACATTAGACAAATCTCAACATGCGTCCCGTACCTTACGATAAAAAAAATGATATTTTAGCTAGACTGCGTACAGGAGAGTCTCATAGAAGTATCGCCAAAAGTTTAAAGGTATCCAACGTCACTGTTGGTAGAATCGCTAAAGCTAATGACATTGCATGCAACGAAAAGACCGGCCGTCCTAGGTTAATCTCGGATCGTCTCGAGAGAATGATCGCAAGATCGTTCTACTTAGGGCAGTTCATAACAGCAGTTGATGCTGCCAGGAACCTGCGGGGTCAAGGAGTAGATATTTCTCCACAGACCATACGTAGGGTCCTGAAAAGATCCGATTTCGATTCAAGGATTAGAAAATCAGCATTGCCATTAACGAATGATCGAAGAAAGGATCGGTTGAAATGGGCGAAAGCCCACAAACACTGGACGGTTGATGATTGGAAGAAAGTCGTTTTTAGCGACGAGACCAAAATCAATCGTCTTGGATCGGATGGGAAACAGTGGACTTGGGTAAAGAAGGGAGAACCCCTCAAGGAGCACAACGTCAACTACAAGTATAAAGGCGGAGGTGGCAGCCTCATATTGTGGAGCTGCTTCACTCAACATGGTCCTGGCTTCATTGCCAAGATACAGGGGGGAATGGACTCGCAATTATATTGCGAGATTCTGAAAGGCGACTTCATGGATACACTAAAGGATTATGGCCTGAAATTGAAGGACGTTATCCTTCAACAGGATAATGATCCTAAACATACGTCCCAATATACCAAAAAATTCTTTAAAAAGCACAAGATAAATGTTCTAGATTGGCCTTCTTATTCACCAGACTTGAACCCAATCGAAAACTTATGGTTTTACCTGAAGTGCAAGCTAGCTGCTTATGACACCCTACCCAAGAATATGGACGAACTCTGGCAAAGAGTAGGAGACGTATGGTACAATAAAGTTACAGCCGATTTATGCCTAAAACATATCGAAAGCATGCCAAAAAGAATTGAAGCTGTTATAAAAGCCAAAGGTGGTCAAACAAAGTACTAACTGCACGTTTAAATAAATCTGACTATCACAAAAATGAAAATTTTACGCATATGCAAATTAAGCTCTATAGTTTAAGTAATTCCAAAGAACGCTAATATGTTTGAAAGTTATATCATTAGAAACCCAACAATATATACTTTCTAATGATATTAGTTTGGAGGGGGGTTTATTAATCATATCAGGTGCAATAGTGATTTGAATTGGAAATTTGTTTGATTTTGTAAAACATTGTAACACTTTTGTGAGTCACTGTATATGGTTTTGACATGACCGCCTTATCTTTGTCTATCAATTCGATCTTGTGAGTATACTTTGGGTCCACCTTCCCTAAACCAGCGTTTTCCACAAAGCAATCCTTATATTCTCTTTTGACATAATCAAGGATCTTGATAATTTCCGGATCTTCAGCCTTCTCATCCTCACTCAAATAGATCTCTTCAGCGTAGTCTAAGAGACGTTCACCACCACACACTTTGTTTTCTTTTTCCTCCGCCATTCTAATGCTAACAGTATATACCCCGGCCTGCTCTCCCATTCCATCGATTGTGCTAGACGCTTGTACATATATGCTTCTTCCATTTTTTGTCGGTACTTCCAAAATGTTATCCTTATAATGAGTGACAATTCCATACGTCTTGTGCCAAGTGATACCCAGTAAAAATGTATCATCTGAACATTCATCGCTAATCACCATGTGTTCCGGACGGAGCTTCCCGCCTATCCTTACAGGGACATTCACCGTGATATCAGATTTCTTTTTAATCTCACCATATTGCATGCCATTTTGCTTCGAGTTCAAGCTTGCTACGGTAATCGTATCACCATTTGGCAATAATCTTAATTCTTTTGCCAGGGCTCTTGAGATCAGACTTACTGAAGCACCTGAATCGAATATAGTATTTATAGCTCTATTATGTATTATGGTAGTTCCTCTGAGTGGAGTGGATTTCTTTATTGTCTCCAAATCATAAGGATAATCAATGACAGTATCGTCACCGTCTGATTCATAGCCTAAGTACTCATTCTCCGAGTCAGCCCCTGAAGCAGTTGAAGTATAGGCGTCCGATTCTGAGTCACTACTATAATATCCCTCTTCTCCACTGCCTCCCAAATCCTCTCCGTTCTCAATAACATTCACTTCCATATGATCTGCCTTTCCTTTACCCTTATCCCTTACTCTTTGAATACGAGGAGCTTGTCTCGGGTTTGTTTTCCTACCCATTACAGTGCTGCTATTAACCGGCTCACAAAAATATAATTTAAGATAACTTCTGCAGAAATGAAGCTAGACTCTTCAAATTTTGAGTGAATATTGCTTAAGTAACATAGTTTTATTGAACAAAATTTTATAAAATACTATTTAGGAAATTTGGGCGGAATATGAAAAAATGTAAAAATCACTGTAAAATCAATCAGGCTACAAAACATTAGCGCTTAGTATATCCACCTTTAGCCTTGATGACTTCTTCGATTCTTTTGGGCATGCTTTCGTAATACTTCTTCATGTCATCTTTAGTGAATTTATTCCATTCTTTATCGAATCTATCCCACAATTCATTCATATTTCTGGGCTTAGTGTCGTATGCATCTAACTTCAACTTGACATGGTGCCAAAGGTGTTCAATCGGATTTAAATCGGGACTATTTGGTGGCCAGTCTTCAATATACCTTATTCCATTATCTGCAAGCCATTTTTTTGTGTATTGCGAGGTGTGTTTTGAGTCTCCGTCCTGTTGAAAGATGACTTCCTCGTTGCTAAGACCAAAGTACTCAAGTGTATCCTTATACGAAGTAGCCAAGATATGGGTGTACAGTTCTGAATTCATGGGATACTCGATAATACGGCATGCGTAACCTACTCCTAATGATGTCATGCACCCCCAAACCATCATTGAGCCTCCGCCACCTTTTAATTGAGTCTGATAATTATGGGGTCGAAGTGGGTCGTCCTTATGCTTCCACGTAATCTGAGCTCCATCTGATCCCCATCTATTAATTTTGGTTTCGTCGGAAAAAATAACCTTGTTCCAGTCCTCTACAGTCCAGTCACGGTGTTTTTTGGCCCATTGCAATCGCTTTTTCTGGTTGATTCTCTTGATTAAAGGCTTCTTTTTTTTATACAGAGAATTAAGGCCAAGGGATCTCATGAGTCTTGTTGTGGAAGAGTATTGAAATTTGTAACCAAGAGACCACAGATATCTTTGGACATCTTTTGCTGATAATAAGAAACCTTTTCGGACTCTAAAAGATATGACTCGCTTTGTGTAATTGGACACAATACTGACTCTACCACCACGAGATTTAATGCGATCAGGATCATGTTCTTTTTTCATGCGAACAACTTGGGCTTTAGACACTCCAGTGGCTTGTACAATGTCTTTAGTACCCTTTCCGGCCTTGATCATTGAAATGACGTCATTTCGTTTGTCGTTACTGAGTTTATATGGCATTGTAGAGAAGTAGTTGTGAGAGATAAAAGTGAGAGTGTAATGAGGAAAACTGTGTAAAAATGTCGCCTTTATATATTTTTCAGCTTCTCTACATCATAATGATACGTTATCATTGCATCAGGTACGCTAAAATAGAGTTTAAGGTACACTGAATCATATTTGTATCATTTTACATTTAGTCCAAAATCAAGTTTTTTTTATTTGCAGCTTTGTGTAACAATATATGATTACGTCATTCTTCCTTTCTTATACTATGACGTTTGGGCTATCTAGTGGTCTTTATTTCGTAGCTCTGACGTAATTATTGCACTGTACAGATCATTTTATATTTTTGTGAGCCGGTTAATAGCAGCACTGTAATCTACTTACACACTCAAAAGGTGATGAATCCTATGTTGATTGGTTGGATGGAAACTTTACTTGATTACGATTTTGACGTTGTGCACGTTCCAGGCATTGACAATCGCTTAGCCGATTTATTAAGCCGCTTATATCCACCTCAAATTGAGAGTGAACATAAGCTGGGGGAGAATAGAAGCTTCCCTAGACTTAAGAAATGGGTTAATAAGAAACGTGTCGCTAAACGCAAAGTATATAGTCAAGATAAAAGAATTAATATACTAGCAACTAAATTGGTCGAAAATAAGAACAAACCTGTTGAATATATCAGTCCTCCTGAAGAAGAGAGACAACAATTACTGATCGACATACACAACCTCGGACATGCAGCCAGTGTATATATGGTCAGAGATCTTCATGATCAAGGTTTCCATTGGAACACTATGACAGAAGAGGCGAAAGCAGTATGTGCAGCTTGTAAAGAATGTCAAAAGCACAATATTGTACAAAGAGGCTACCATCCCATCACGAATATTGTGAGTTATAGACCCTTTGATGAAATAAGTATGGATCTTGTTGGACCGCTTCCCGCTAGTGCTGATGGCCACATGTATATTCTAGTCGTAGTTTGTATGTGCACGAAATATTTGATTATTCGACCTTTGCCTAACAAACATTCAGACACTCTTGCAAGGACTTTGGTAAAGATTTTCGCTGATTACGGTTTGCCACGTTTGATGAGATCTGATAACGGTACTGAATTCAAGAACTCACTGATGGACAATATCTGTAAACATCTTCACATTCAGAGAAACTATAATACACCTTTGTATGCACAGTCTAATGGACATGTCGAAGCTTATTGCAAAATTGTAATGAACACTCTTCGTAAAATGATAAGAGGCAATACAAGAGATTGGGATCTATTTGTTCCTATGGTCCAACTCTGCGCAAATAGGCAAATTAAGAATAAAACAATGAGTGCTCCTTTCTCTTTGATGTTTGCAAGAAGAGTAAACTTACCAGATGACTATACTAATGGCGAAAGATACCCCATCTTAAATAGTACGACCACTTTGAAAGAATTGGAGGATCAAATCGAAAAAATGGAAAGTATAGTATTTCCTGCGATTGCGGAAAGTGTCGTATTTGAGGCACGATGGCAATATTATATGAGTAAATCATCACTCAAAACGTCTAACGAAATGTAAAATAAAACTTGATCTCAGATATGAGTACTGCTCATATCTTCATTCCCGTTTGGTAAGCGGTGTGTTCGATTGCATACATTTGAACCTTAGATCAAATGTATAACAAATAAAGATAAGATAAGAAAAGAATATGGATTAAGGATAATTCTTATGTGAGATTAGCTACCTCACATAAGACTTGAACAGGTTATCTTTATGAAATATATTTTACTTAGATTATCTATGGCTATATGACATTCAGGTATATAGCAGGATTGGTATATGTACTCGTAGGATATATTGATTCAACAACCAAAACATAGTAGGTCACGGTACTGCTCCCTGTTCTGGAAATAAAGTATGGTTGGAGATAAAAAAGGCTCAATCACTCTTTATTAATACAATAACTGTTCACGCAATCAAAAGAACACCACGCACGAATATCTCTTCCTAGCCAACATCTATAATCATTCCCACAGTATCTGAGCTACACAACTGGTGGCCGATAGATATTGGATTATAGATGTAGCTGCATGATCACCCTGGATCTGCCAGGATAGCACATTACAAATCAATCCGCTCTGGGATGGACGAGTAATTATCCACCTAAAGGGAAGACCTATTCTTTTACGGAAACCTCTGATTCACTGAGTATTATTTGACCATAATACATCAGTGTCAGCTATAGATCCCGATACAATCATTTCGTAGACAGCAAACACAATAAGTCTTTATTAATAGCAGTAATTTTAGTTTTCTTTTCTTTTTCTTTAGTTTGTTTTTGAAAGAGAAATAAAGACGGTGGTTTGATTTCGTTAAGCTTTCGTGTTTATTTTCTCTTGTGTTATTCTTTACCTTTTACTTCATAATTAAAACTAGCGAATACCACATTTTTTTTAACGAATTTCTAAACTACTTTGTCCATAATGCCCCCTATTAACCCCCATCAAGACTCCCCTCAAGAAGACCACGTCCAACAAAATGAGGACATGGAAATGATTGATGTAAATCAGTCAACCTCTAACCGACCCCCTCTTGTGCCTGGTTACACCTCCTCTGTTGCCTCCACTGCCACTGGTATCTCCTCCTCTGAATCCCAAGGTACGAACCTCTCTGAAGGTAACATTAATAACCATGTCCCTCCTATCGATAATAGTGAAACATGCATACACAATTGTAATCATAGTGGACACCACTTGATTATTAATACTGATGTTGGCAAGGACCTCACTTCGCATCAGACCAATAACAATGAGCATGATGTTGGCAAGGACTTCACTTCGCATCACTATAACGATATGAATGACATCAATGTCATACATAACAATGGTACTAATCATACCAATACTTTTACACCATTAGATCCTCCCATGACTAATGAAAAAGACCGCATGATTGTTAGATACGAAAACCGTATCAATGAACTTCGCGAGCAGGTGCTCTGCCAATCAAACCCGGTTGAAATAGAGAAAATCCATGCTACCATTGACATTCTTGAGAAAAACGTCAAGAAAATGAAAGGTGGAATCTCACCTAACAGCACATCCCATTTTGACCCTACCAAAAGTAGCACCATGGATTCCAAATATGCTCATTCCTATTCTCCCATCATCCATCGAAGTGAAATACCTATTTTCCAGTTGGTTGATGACCCTGCGGAGACCAAGACCGACAACGTACCGTCCTTCGAAAACG